AAGTACGTTGGCGACTCTCCTAAAGGATGCAGAGCAATCGAAGTCAGGGCGTGAGAAGGTGTTGTTGCATGATGCTGCATGTCATGAACATTGAGGCAAGTCATATTTGGATATATTTGGACTCATTGATTTATAAGAAACCTTTGAAGATGGGATTGAGGGGGTCCGTTTCCAAGGTTGCGTACAAGATGTGAATCGCAGATTCCTTGACCTAAGCTTGAGTGCGCCGGGGGTGATTGCGAGGAAGACAAACCACGATAGGCCTTGTACAGAAGTACGTTGGCGACTCTCCTAAAGGATGCAGAGCAATGAAGAATCAAGGTGTGAGAAAGGAGTTGTTGCATGATTCTGCATGTCCTGATTATTGAGGCAAGTCATACTTGGAGTTATGTTTGGATTGGCAAGAATCCTTTGAAGATGTGTTTCAGGAGGTTCATGTCAAGGTTTGCGTACAAGATGTGCATCGCAGTTTCCTTGACCTGAGCTTGAGTTTGCCGGGCATGATTGCGAGGAAGGCAAACCACGATAGGCCGTGTGATGAAGTACGTTGGCAACTCTCCTAAAGGATGTAAATCCGTCCAGGTCAGTCTGTGAGGAGGCATTTGTATGCATTTGTCGCATGATGTTTCATGGCATTGCTGCTTGAGACATGTCAAGGTTTGGATTGACAAGAATCCTCAACATTTCCTGAGAGTGCTTCTTGAAGTGGTCTGTCTTAAAGCCAGTCTAAGAGGATTTAAGAGGGTTTCTTCGCTTTGTAGGTCCTCCCCGAGCTTTCATTATCCAGATGCAGCTGTACAAACTAATCCCTGCATTATTTATACCACACTTATACCGTATACCCTTTACAACTATTTGGACGTGAGGGAGGTCTCCAATAGCAGCCTCATGGATTGACCATGATTGACCGATGGGGGCGCGGCGAAGCCACTCGAACTAGATGTCCCTTGCAAAATGGCAGAGAAGAGCACTAGAGCATATATGACATGACATGGTTGCTGTATTTTTGGATGGGCTGGGGATTGGGCTTCGTACCCCAAATCAAAAACACAAAGTGATGATTAGAGTGATGTACTAATTGACCTGGGTGGTGGTTTCAGATATGTTTACTTTAAATTAGAAACCTAAACTTGATATCATTGATCCCACTGACTAATATCAATTGAGTTAAAACCACCAACCAGTGATATGGTTTAAGCTCCTCGTCTTGTACTCGAAGTGCCCCGATGACCTCGCCCCCCTTGGCATTCTTCGATCCTTCGTTCCTCGCGCTGGACCCCCCACCTGCAGGGTGAAGGGCGCGCGGGGCAACTTCGGGCGCTTCTCCTAAGAAACGGCGCTTCTCCCGGCACGTGGAAAGAAGCGGCCCCAACGTGTGTGTTTGGAGGGTTTTTTTGGACCCAAGCATGGTGGCAGAGGAAGGCTTCAGAATTTCAGCTATTCTTGCGTCATAGGGCTAGGGTACATGCACCCATGATTATGAGATGTGCGTTTCCAGCTGGGTGCAAGCCTTAGGGTAGCTGCAGCGGATTGCAGCGGCCACAGGCCAACAAGTCGAGGCCAGGTCTCCCACTTGATGCCGAGAGCCATACATTGGGGTGGCATTCAGGGGGCAATGACATAAATTCCATAGATTGGAGTGTTTGAAGATGCTTGTCATATGTATATGTGTTTATATGTGTTGGCATACAGTATATATAGTTCTATTCAAGGGCCCCCATCGCCTCACACGATCCTTTCTACAAGGTCAGACCTCGTTGTTTCCGGTTGGGCTGGCTCGGCCTGGGCCTGGGCTCCAAGGACCACGTGCCAGGTCGCATGAAAGCATGTCAACCAGGCATGCACCCCTCCCCAAATTAGGCAGAGCCTTTCCATCCCACTCTTTGGAATCAACAGAAAAATTCACGGATGCTGGACCGTGCATGCTGGACCGTGCCGACTGACCGTCACCTTATTTGGGCTTAAATTTGGCCAGATGGGCCAACGATTCAGAAGTCCCCATGAACCCCTCCTTCAAAAAGACCGTGATCACCAGGGTGTCCAATTAGATGTTGTTTCAAGAGGAGCGGCGTGGCTTTATCGGACATTGAGCACCTTTAAGTAGACTGAGCTAGCCGTGCACTGACACCAGCAGGCACCCCTTGGGAAAAACAGCCCCTCTCTTTTGGGGTGCACGGGCTTCATGAACAGACAGTGGGTCAAAGATGGTGGAAAAACGGCCCAGGACAGTTTCTCAGACACCTCTAGGCCTTCGACAGAAAAACAATAAGACATACTTAGCTGAGACGGGCTACAGCCAGAGCCGCGCTCGTCCCAAGACGACGGGCGCCGCACCCCACGTGGTTGACACCTATGGCCAGCTGGGCTCCCCAGGAACATGAGCACTTGGTCGCTTTGTGTTGGGGGCAGGCTCTCACAGAGCTTCAAGGGAAAATGCAGGATCCCTAGATGATGACCTCGCATGGGGGGCACGGATGGGCACTTGGCGTATCCGCCAAGTCACTGCCTGCCTTTATCCCTCGTACTTCCCTTCACTCTCTCTCTCTCTCTCTCTTTGCATCCTCAAAGTCAAAGAATTTAGGATAAAAAGATCAACGAAGAACGCGTTGGTGGAATCTATGTAGGCGTTCAGCCCCTTGCGAGAGTCTCGCGTTCAGCCCCTTGCCGACGAGAAGCCGACCTCGCCCCTTGACGTCCTCGCCCCTCGGTGGAGCGACACCACAGGTGATGCGACCTCTTAGGAGGTGAGGAACTCAGATCGACTGTGATTTCACAGATCTGCCAGACTTTGTTCCGGTTTTCCGCATGGCCTGGTCATGTGAAGGGAAAAAGGGGGCGGAACGTATAGTCTCATGGATACCTCTGAGAACCACATGAAGAGTGGGAGTTCTCACAGAGATGCTCACAGCCTCACAGCCCTTCTCGGTGCATTTGCAATTTGCCCATGCTTGTCTTTTCGCCCCGGTGCGTCGCGGCTGCCCTAGGCGGCGAGGCCCCAACCTGCCAGGTGGGAGCCCGCGAGAGATCGAAGTGGACCGGGTCTGCGACTCGGAGTCAGTCAGAGAAGTGGCATTTTTTGCCTGTTTGGCTCCAACCGCACTATACTCCATACAAAATTACAAAGCCACACCCTGGAGTTGGGTTTCCTGTTACCAATTCCTCCCAGCCAACCTGGAGCAGCTTTGCCCGTGCGCTCGCGCGTGAGCGCGCGGGTCGTGCGTTCGTGCCAGGGCCATCTCTTGGTCACCTCATGTGGGGCGTTCTCGTGCCCTCACGAGCATGGCCTGTTTCTCAGGGGGGGCACTGGCGAACGAATGGACCGGCTCGTGGCCCAAGTGGGCCATTTGATTGGGCAGGTCTTGATGCTCCCCCGTGTTCCAAACATGTCGTTCAACGAGTCCCCCCTTGAAACGGTGATTTGTGCTTAGAGTTAAAACAATGTATATGGAGCTGCGTCGCGTTTTTTTGACACTGGTTCACTGATAGGGTGAAGGGTTTTTTAAAGAAACGCATAAATGAGAAGGCCATCTCACTACCTGTGTGAGAGGTAGCTGAGAAGGTGTGACCACATGAGTTGCACATGTTTTACCTCACCGGTAATTGGTGCGGTTGCTGAGATCATGAACTGCAACACTGCTACGGTTGGAAACTGAGCATTCTGTTTGCTTGCTACGACGTTGGATCTCAGTGGTGAGTGACTTTGTCATGTGTAATTATAATACACGCATACATATATAATATATCATATTATATCTTATGTATACGTAGATATGTATCATATATATATATGTATATTTGTGTGTGTCCTGCGGGATTGGCGTTAGGTCGTTAGGTCGATCAAAAGCACGCGTGCCTTGGCGTCAACGGTGTACATGGCTTTCATGTACCATACTGTAGCGATCAATGCCGCCTGTGGGGAGTCTTTGGGCATGACCCGATGAGTCGCCGGGCGCCGTGTCATCGTGACACGTGCGTCATGACACGTCATGAATGCGTGCTCATGACACGTGCTCGTGGGGAAGTTCTGCCGAGCACCCCGCAACTCACACATGTAGATAGAATATGATAGAATGAGGAGTCATCACCAGTGTTTGAAAGGATTTGTGGTCCTCTAGGTGAATGGTGCCACCTGTGTTTGCGCGGCCCCATCCGAATTGGACACAGAATTGGCCCATCCGAGGGACCGAGGAGGTCAGGTTTTTTGATGCCGCAATGGTATGAGACAGCAGCACATCCGCGATGAAACTGGGAGAAAGGCTGCCGCAAGCAGCCTTCAGGTCATGGGCACTTGACCAAAACCCCCCAGCCTCTAAAAACATGCATTTTGAGCGGTGTATTTGCGCCTACGCCTACGACCCATCTTGGACGGTTTTTTAAACTTTCGACCTTGGGGTGTCAGCGAGAGAGAGCAGCGAATGAGGAGGAAGAGAGAGCTTGGGTGGAGCATGGTGGAGCCAACGGAAGTTGGCCTGTCTCCCCGAGGCAGTGTTGGAGTTGTGTGACCAGCAGTTCTAGCGGCTCGATCTGGTGGCTGCAGCTGGACGCTCAGACATCGTGACACTGCCCAAAGGTTTGCATGGTGATTGACAGTGGCACACGTTAGCGGAGAGACCCAGCCCGTCGGGGGAGACCCCCTTCAATGAGGATGTTGCATACATTTTTGGGGGGAGAGGTGCTCTTTCACTTTGACTTTTGCATGTCCCTCTTGTGGGACTGGGGCCGAAAGTGCAGAGCTTCCGCAATCAACGTGTTGTTGCTCCTCTGAACCCTTTGGCCAACCGATCATCCTGAACCATCCGCCAACCCAGTTATGGCCTTCCCATGTTTTCCCCTGGTGATCCCATGGGCGTTGCGACTTGAATGAGCGAGCTCGGAGTTGTTCAAAGCTCTTCCGGAAGACTGCACCCACTTTCGGCATTGGCATCGCGTGGCCGAAAATTGCCCCACCTTTCCAAGTGACCTCTTGTACAAGTAAGATCAAGTAAGCAAGCTGCTTCGGTGCTCCCAGTCCATCCCTGGAGTAGTGACCTGCCAGCTACACGATGGGTGGCGCCAGATCCGTCAGATCGAAGCGTGGCGCCAGATCCGTCGGATCGGTACGAATCCCACGGAGTCCCCTGCCCTCCTCGCACGGGACCCCGGGGCCCCACCAGTCAAACAACCGAAAAACACGGGCAAAACGAAGTGCTTTCCGCCAAAAACGGGTCCTTGTACCGACGCATGGATCTATGTGACTATCACACCGGTTCTGGGTGATTCACCACACGTTTTGATGACCGACGACCCCCCCCGCACCCTTCAACACCTGCCCCCGCCGCGCAAGCGCGCTCCCTTCCGCTGGCGCTTGCCTCGAGCCGGGGACGACTTCCGCTCTCGAAAGGTCGCCGCCCTCTACCGCATCGCCAAGCTCGGTGCCTTTGATCCGCTCGCGACCTCGGCTCGTCTGGGCCTCGGTTCCGGTTCGGGGAACCGACGTACAGCGGAGAGCCGGCGTAATGACCGAGCCGCGGTCCGACGGTGGAAGGAACAAGGTGGAAGGAACAAAAAAATGAAGAAAATGAGAAGACTGAGAACATCCTATACACAATTCCAACAAAAGCATGTGAGGGTGCTGGAAGTTGTTGGTTTCATTTTGCCTGGAAAATCTGGAAACGCTTTGGTGGAAAAAGCTTCGCCTCAGACTGGCTCTTTTCAACTCTACTGGGTTTCCTTTTTGTGGGCCATGTCTATCCGTCAATAATATGAATACACCCAGCGTGGATCCTGGTGCTGCCTGGTGTTCTGTTCCTGGGGTATGCACGGTATAACCAGAATCCCTTGTCTCACTGTTTCACTCACCAGCATCCAAGACTTGCAGCGTTTTTGACAGCTCCAAGACTTGCGCTGTTGTGGCTGTTGTGTTCACTTCCATTTTTTCACGCGTTCGAGGTGAAGAGGCTGGTGTGTAGGCGAGACAGAGAACAAAAGCATCAGTTGACGCAGATAGGTACAACTCCTTGCAGTGGACAGGCTGGGGATGGTTTATTGACTTGGTCCGATGGCTGAGGCCCAACTCAGAAGATCGAGCAGAAGCTACTGGACCTCTTGGTCTCAAACGAGGCCGAGCTGACAGGACTGATTAGAGGACTTGGGCTGAACGCTGCACGCCTCGTACAACCAGTGCGACAACCTGCATGTGGTAGCCATGAAATCGGACGTCAAAGACTTGGCTGGCAGACTCGGGAGGCTTCGAACAGCTTCAAAACCTTTTGATACCTGCTCCGGCCAGGCTTCGCCTCAGGGCATGGCCAATACCATGTGGGCGCTGGCCAGGAGTGGAGCACTTGCACTGCCCCGGAGATATGCGGAGGTCGCCTGGGATGGTGTTCGCGGAGGGTTTTGGTCTCCGCCATCCAAAGGGGTGATGGTTATTCCACTTGCAGCAGGTTCTGTGATGCTTGCCAGAAACTTTTGAATCTTTTGAATGCTTTTGCCCATGTTGCTCACTAGGCATGCATACGCATCGATTCACAGCCTAAATATGCCAAAAGCACAACCACCAGGAAATACATTCCTGCATTGAAGGCCCAAGCCTGGTCACACCCCTTTAGCGAGCACCATTTGTTCCTTACCATAAACCAGACAGACTTCCCGTGCACCGATGCCGATGCTCTTTTCGGCAGCTGCGTGCCAAGCGTTCTTGGTCATCGTGCAAGACAGATGATTCGTGGCTTTTGTTTGGCCAATTCGGTAGCCTCCGAACCCTCCTGCTCACGAACATGGATTTGGAAGTACACTCATTGGAAGTGCTAGGCTGCTAGGTATATGATCTAAGTTTAGATTTACACTTCAAGACTTGTAGCCAGGTGTTGTGTCGCATCCAGTGGAATATTGGATTCCCGGGTGACGAACTTTAGTGAAAGAGCACGTTCAGCGACGACTGCCAAGATGTCCCTTCAGTTTGCTATGTTCCACGTTTTGTCTCAATTCTTGTGAATTGAATAAGTTGAAGAAGTTTGAAGAAGCAGGAAGCCTCCTCAAAAAATGGGTACTTCAAACAGCTTATACGCCTACGATCACCGACGCCTCCCTGCCATCCTCCACATTCCTCCACCCTCCCTCGAGGATCAAGAGCAAGAACGCGTCTGGGAGCTCAGCACGTCGCCAGCCACGTCTTCTTTCTCACCAAGTCCCACGGTCGTCCATTCAGATATTGGAGTTCGAAGTGGATCCATCTTGTGCGCGTTTTGGCGGGAAGGTTTTGTGGTCCCGATTTGATGGCTATGCTGCTATGCTGACTTGATACTTCGTGAGAGTTTGATGGCTGATTTGGAGGCTTTTCCCAGGATCAGCAGACCGGGCCGGATATGATAATAAGTAAAGTACAGTGTTGGAAGCTCTATTCCAGCTATATAGCTGCGGGAACCACCAAAGCATCCAATACCTGGTGGCCATTCGAAGTGTTGCTGGCGATGGCCTTTGCAATCCATACCCAAGGGTTGCCCGTGGCTTTGTGAGTTGAGAACTGCTACTGAGGCAGTTGCTGGATGTGCTCGGAGAGCATGGTGTGAGGCCAACCTGGGGCGAGATTGGCTCGACACGGCTAGACAGAGGCATCCGGGGATACGTATGTATGTAGGGCAATATTGGGATATTGGGAACCAAACATGGAGCAGTGGCTTCAGCTTGGACGTGTTTTGTAGCGGGAAGACCACTTCAACCGCTCGTTCTTCATCCAAAGAGACCGATCTTTGCAACGCCCTTTCTGGCCGTTCGGTGCACATAACGGCATAAGACTCAATGCAGATATTGAAGTGTCACCGCTTGGACTAAGTGTCATCGATGAACGTTTGATTGGAGCAATCAATGCACGCCACTTTTCCTCCGACCTCCGAGCTTGTATAGTTGTAGACTGAGAGTAGGTGATCAGTCATTCCAAGGACTGGATGATACTGGATGAGATGTTTCTCAGCAAATATGCTTTCCAATTGTGGATGGCAGAGACAGCGTCTCCCTTACTACGTTGTTTCTGAGTTTCTGTGGGGTTTGGATCCAGGTAGCTGCTGAGGATGGTCTTGGAGGTGAAAGTGGTTCCAAAGATTTCTTTTTGGGCCGAAGGGCATCAACAGCATGGTCCTGGACCCTTTGGGGGAAGGTTCTAGAAAGTTTGGGATCGATGGATGAATCGAAGATGATTGGCTGGGTGTGCCACAATGCCACGTTTGATCTTTAGATTCATCAGCTCAGCACCACGTGCCCTCTCGTTTGGATCCAAAAAGGCCTTCCGGGCCTCCGTTGGACCTGCCTGGTGTGCTCACCTTCCTTTTCTTGGCTGCAGTCGCTTCCCCACATGCACACCACATTGATGGACACCACAGTTGGCCGCAGTGGGCGAAGGGGGGTATGGAAATGAGACCGAATAATCGGAGAGGGACCGAATCTTTGCGGGTTCTTCTCGCGAAAAGACGGAGCTCCCCGTGGGACTTCTGCACTGACGGGGTGGCCTTTGTCGCCCCCACGACCGAGATCCACCCAGCCTCTCAATCTGGATCCGTGGCACAGTCTGAAGGCTATAGGATTCCCAAGTATACGCACCCCCCAAAAAATGGGAAAGACCAAAGGGTCCTGAAGTGCATGGATTCATGCGTCCTGAAGCACCACCAAGTAAAGACCAGTGGAGTGAAGTGCCCATGCCCCGAAAGTGGCCGAGACAAACCTCCCAGAACTTCACGAAGTCCAGCAAAGGTCCTCAGTTGGGGCGAAACCGACTGACACTAGCACTCTTCCAACGCCTCCTTTTCCTGTTGACGCCATGTCATCTCTCATTGACCGCGCGGCCATGGCTGCGCCAACTCTGGCGCTGCCACATGCGCACGTGCCACTCACGGGCGTCGCTGCCGCGTCGGCGGTGCGTCCGAGGACAGAGATGAGATACTGCTGCAGGTCGGATCAGCTGGGTGATGAGCACGGCAAAAGACAACTACAACCCCATCTCCTCCCTCAGAGAATCATGCAAGCTGAAGACCCATCACTTTGCAACGTGAATTTCATCAAATTTAGGGCCCTATGTTCAATGATTCGGACAAACAGGTTGGATTCAGACGGTCTCATGAAACTACACACAGTGCGGAGTGACTGTTTGTGTTGTCCCAACTTGTGTGGACACGTGGGAACTGGCAGAGTGACACTTAACGTAGACTCTTGATTCATAATCCCCGCCTATGAAGGGGTTTTACGAACCAAATGCTGGGGTTATTGATCATTGCAACTTGCAATCATGAGCTTTGCTCAGGGCAGCCGGACCTCCTGCAGTGGCGGCCTCTTTGCCGGGCTGCTTGGTCGGGAGCCCCATCCACTTTCCATATCTTTCCATCGCATTTGATGCAACGAGCTCGTTTGAGACGTTTGCAACTCCAAACAGGCAACTCAACAGGGAACTCCCCAAAGTACCATTCTCACTCCTTTTGAACTTTCAGGAGCCAAAACGATTGGAAGCAAACAAGGTTGCTTCGCTGAAGACTTTGGTAAGCTGCAAGGTTGGTCAAACTGCCAAAGCCTCGAGCTTGGTCAACATATGTGCATATAATTGCATATTATATGTGTGTGTAAGATTGTGTAAGTATATGTGTATATTTCTATATGACTATACTATATATAATATATATATATATATGTGTGTGTGTGTTTTGTTGGTTTGTGTAAGGATGTCTATACATAGAAGGTAAATGCTTTAGTCATATCTATCTATTTACATGTTTGATATTGATTGATTCATACGCATATACATATGTTTTCACTTACACACTCCAGTACACTCCTCACCGATGTTATCACACTGGTCACGTGCGCATTGACTATGCATTGGGCTGGATGATGGGACAACGTTCTCAGATAGTCAGGCCGGAACACCGACATTTAATAGCCTATGATATGAGATTAGTGGGTGATTGGGAAAAAGTCTCACATGAATGCATGGGCTCCTTGAATCAGAAGGGCTACCTTTGACAAGCAAACTAGAAGTTGGCAGCGAGACCGAACATGCTGACGGCCAGGACCAAGAGAGGTTATAAGTGACCACCGGTCACCTGGGGTACCTATGGGATAGTCGAACAGTCGGGTTCTTCGACAACAGTCGGGCACCTCTATGCACATAAATCATCACCGTCACCACCGGTTTTGGCATCTCATGGCCGTAGCTTGGCTCTCTGTGAACTGGACTCCAACTCAACTGCCCAGGAACAAGTGGATAACCTTCAAAAAAGGAAGTTTTTTTGTTTGTTTGTTTTCGGTTTTTGTTTTCCCCACTCACAATGGAACACGTGGACAGTTTGGTTAACTGTTGCCCACTTCGTCTGTTCCAGGGATCGAGAAACTCGGCGCTCACACGCGTCAGAACTCGTCGAGTTGGAGTTCCATCTTCCGGTTTGGTACAGTGGTCTCAAGGGTAGACGGCACCATCACCCCAGTTTTACATGGACCCAGTTTACATGCACCTGCATCTTAAAGATATCTTGCGGAAATTGTGCCATCAGAAGCCACTGTCACTGTAAATCACTTTTCGATGTGCGATCGTTCTCAGGTGCTTCGGAGGGGCCTCAAACGCACCACGCGGGCGTTCTCGGCCGCGGGACACGTGGCGCCCGTGGCGCCGGTGGCGGAGGCGGAGGTGTCGCAGGCGGCGTTTCCAGTGGCGGGCTACAACTGGGAGATTTGCACCCAGCAGAACTATGCCCAGAAGGATGTGGAGGGTGGTGGGCGTGGACAAGAATTAGGACATCTATGGAAATCTGGCGAACGGTCACTCTAGTCACTATAGCCCGTCCTTTTGTTGCCCTTGGGCCACCTGCAAGGCCACCTTGGTGGAACGAATCCAAGGAAAAGTGGGTGCGCTCGGAGTCCTATATATACATACATAGTGGCTACCCCTCCTTTTGTTAGCTTTTCCGGGAGACTAAGCAGTTGAATCTGAGTTCGACTGGGGGCCCTTGGGGGGGGTTACAGCACCCCCATGAGTTTGGACGAAACCCCTCGTGAGTTTGGACCTCTACTTGGGATACTTGGAAAGAGTGAGCCAAATATTGTAAGGAGAGTAACTATACAGCGGACCATATCTGACAGAGACCGCAAGTCGCGCTATACAGCAGACCAGTACCAGCACCACCCAAAGGGTGGATTATGGACCTTCCAGATTTGTATGAATCCATCAAAAACTATGATTTGGGCGGTGCTGGTTGTTTGGATGTTTTTGGTTCTTTTCTGGCGCCTTTTCTGGCAGGATTCTCAAGTAGCCGAAGGCCCATTGGCGGCGGCAAGGAGGTTAGTGGATGCATCATACCATGGCCACTACACGCTGGAACGTCAACGGCTGCTGGGCGAGATGAGGAGTTTGGTAGACTTCGAGCGTTCTGGGGTCTGTGACCGCAAGCCATAGAGATGCAGAGGGCAAACCAAAAACAAAAATTGAAAACGAACCCAGTACAACCCAGTTAAGCCTTCGGACGATTGACATCCACAAGGGGGTTGATATGGGTGATATGAGGGGGTTATTCGTTCAGTTTGGGTCAACCAAGGTTCTGAGGGCTGTGTGGTTTGGCCAAATCCGTCGAGCTGGGAAGTCGCAGCTTTGGTCAACCCTGCGTTGTTGAGCAGCCAAGGTCAAGCTGCAGGTCCATCATGTGTCAGTTTTGCATGGCACCTTACAGACTTTCAGACTGAATCTTGGGTTCTGAGATGACCAGTCACACCTTGCTTTCACATCCGGCACATCGTTTCATCCGCTTCACACGTTTGGGATGTCGCCGCCCAGGTTTCAGGATACCTTGGTCCGACGCCTCGTCGAACTGAACGGCCACGGCGCCCCGCTGCGGGAGCCGCGCTTGGTCTTCACCGCGGGCGCCATGGGCGTTGGGAAGAGCCACGTGATCAGGTGGGGAAGGGATGGGTGCGGATGGAGGAGATGGAGTGGGGTAATTAGGAGAAGTGGAGGTAGTGGAAAGGACACATTGGAAGTGGTAGGGGGAGTGGATGGAGGACATGGCTGCTTTCCTACCGCAGAGTGAGTTGGGGTAGCAAGGATATGTTACATGTGAACAAATGTCCTTGTTGATCTCTTGCGATAATGATGGGAGGTTGTTGGACTGAAGGAGGGTGCACAGTGCAATGAAGTGAGTCAATGGCTTATATCTTTTTTCGTGTGGTGTAGCGTGCTCATATGGCACTTTCTGGGTTCTGAGGATCCTTTGGACATGCAAGTGATGATCGTCTTCAAACAAAGAACATGAGCATACCGTGCACAAATCGGCAATCCGGACATTTCGTGGAGCATTTATGGACATCAACATGTGAGGCATTCTTGGATCCATGGGCGACCTGGGCTGGTGACCAGATGTTCACCGTCCGAAAGCAAAGCACCTTTGTATCCCCAGAATGCAGGGCTCCTTTCGCTCTGGTGAAGGTGACAGGCATGTCTGTGCCCAACACTGAGGGGCTATAAGGGGTGACGGGGCCACCTGGATGCTTTTGAGAAGTTGAAGGTGAGGTGAGAAAGATGCCTGCTGATGGATTCCGACTCGCACCTCACCTCCTCGAGCCTTCCGCACGAACGAAAATTTGGGTGGCAAACGATGCGTAGAGAGTTCATATTGAGCAGAAGATGACTTCCTCTACAATCTCACTTTTTTTGGCGGTGGGGAAAGGGTGCATGTCCAAATCTGCAGTAGATTCCCTCCCTTTGCAGGTCTCATGGAAGCTGAGCAGATCCCGCTTGAATATAGAGGAAGAGTGGCCGGACCCAGCGCCGCTTTGGAACTACACACCCATATCCAGACACTCCGTGTATGGTGAATGTAGGTAGGTGTGCCTCTGAGTCAGAAGTGTTTGGGATATGGCTTTGAGTGGTGGTCAACCCCTGGCTTCTTCACCTGGAACCCCACCGCAGGTGGTTGGCCGAGAAGGGCATTTTGCCGATGCCGCTTGGGCGCGTGGAGTCGACGAGGACCAAGACCAATCAAACATGGAAGGACACTCCCTGGAACTAACATGGAAGTGGATACTCACCCCCTTGGAAGACCCTTCTTCCTCCACAAGGACGGGGGGTTTTACACTTCCATGCCATTCCATGCCTCGCTCTCAGGAAGGACTTCGTTCACATCAATCCCGATCACTTGGCGGCACAGCGACTCCGACCAACCGAGCGGGGCAGACGTCGGCCGGTGGGGTGTCCGACGTGGTTTTTGGGGTGAAACGACCTCCAATGGTCAGGGGATGGTGTTTGGAGTGATATAAATAGATATATATAATATATCATGTATATATATATATATAGAAGAGTGCCCTCCCCCTTCGGAGACCCTTGACCCTTGACAAGTTAGAGACGACTTTTTATACCTTGATGGAGCCTTTCGGGAATCTGTTTGTCGAATCCGTGGGCGGCGAAGAAGAAGACATGGTCATGATTCAGAGCAGCAATTGGTGGGTTCGGGGGTGTGCCATGTTGATTCACGACAAGGGAGGGGCACGCACATGATATATCCCAGACCATCCATGTAATGTATGGAATGGTTAGTCCCATTCATGACCACAATGTGAGTAACCATTCCATGTTATTCCATACATTGATGGTTTGGGTATGCAACAAAGTGGGGATTTACTCATCCATATCCCTAGGCAGCAGCTTGGATACGGCAGAAATGATCATGTCCCAGTCCGTCCTCCATTATCAAGGCCAGCTATCAATATACAGTATCATGAAACAATATGAAACATTGAAACAGGTTGAAGTCGTCAACCTGCTTTCAGGGCTTCACACACACACACACATATATATATATAATATAATATATATATATATAAATCCCCTCGAACATGGTGGGTTCCTAATTGGCTAGTACAAGCACCACCCCAAGCCACTCATTCTGCTCAAGCCACCACTCATTCTGCCGCATGAGGCTGCCAGAGTACATGGGCTACATGGAGCACAACCGCGCCTGTGCGGCGGTGATGACGCGCCTGGAAGCGGGCTTGCTCACGGAGCTCAGCTGCTTGCCATGGGCGATGGGGCACCTGGAGCATGCCCAAGTTCAAGGGGTGGCGGCTGGCGGGGCCCTTCATTTCAATTTACATACAGTCAATCCGGAACATGGAAGAACGACCTCAGTGAATCCAGCACAGCACAGCACAGCTTCCGACATGTGATGCGTTTTTGGTTGCTTGCGGAGACCTCATGAGGAGCATGTGAGGCGACTATAACTGGAGTTTGGATAAATATGTTGGTTGGGCTGTACAACTGGAGGTTCAAGAATTTACAGGTATTGGGAGTTCAAGTGCTAGATTCTTTCCAGTACTCATGGGAAATCAAGGAGACAATGATTCTGCATGATTCCTGGAAGCTATATGGCTGGTTCATGGTTCGTGATGTTTTGATGTCCCGCCAGGGTCGTTGAACGCGTCCACAGACGGAGAAATCCAATGGATTTAGGAAGCGATTGCCTTTTCCGCTTCCTCCAAGTTGGGTTGCCTCATTGCCTCAAATGCGGTCCGTTCGAGTGCTTGAGTGGCGCTGGTCAAGTGAAAGACCTCAAAGACCTTGCCTCCAAGACACGCGGCTTCGTGGACTTTCTGGGATTCTAGGAGCCATGCATGGCCATGCCATGCCATTCACTTCCATGGTTGTTGGACAGAGGGTAAATCAGCGAATCCCCTGACAAGAGGTTGTCATCCGTGACTTTTACGTCTTCAGCTGGATGGACTCGACCACCCCTCCGGTCTGTTGGAAGGGTGCGCAAGCACGGTGCTCCAGACCCCTGCTGGCCCCTGAGGTTTGATGTATGCCTTGCAGCAGAAGCGTAACATCCTCGTAGATAGTTCCTTGCGACATGGCAGCTGGTACAGCAGGGTCCTGCAAAAGATCAGGCCGCTTGGTACTGGCGAGGGGTGGGTGGGTGCATAGCGAGCGACATTTCAAGAACGTGGAGATGAGAGCTTGGTTTGCATTTCCCACTATGTAGATGGGACAATATCCAAAGCGAATTGAACCCTGTTCTAATTCCACTTTTGTATACTTTCCTAGCGCTTCCAAAGCTTGCCCAATGGAGATCCCTAGGTAGTGTGGGGGCTTCCATTGGTGACCCCTTTGAAGGTGCTGGTTTGATTACTTTTGTACTGTAGTAGTTGTGTTGCGGCTGTCAGAATATAGAATACACTAGATTCAGTTCTAGATTCTTTTTGAAGAACTTTTTGTTCCTTATATGATATGAATTCATATATGAAATCCATTCCACTTCCATTTGAATTCCTCAGCCGCATCCGAGGCAGAAGCTGCCAGAGGTGCGAGTGGTGCTCATGTATGTGCACGCCCATGAGGAGACAATCTACGAAACCCGGCGCCGAGTGCTGAGCACAGCCCTTCCAGCACGTTTCGTTCGGTCTGTCCTTACCCAGACAAGCCATGGGTCTCGACCTTCGTCCGACCTCGGAATTCCGACTTTTCAGACGTCCCGGCGTTTTGGCCCGTCAATTGAGGTCAAGTCCTCGAAATCTTCCTAAGCTTCCAACCAAACTCCTCAGCCATGCTTCGTATCGAACATATTCAGACCGCCGAATTGGCCAGTCGCCTTTCCTTAGCTCAACATGCTGAGAGCTGCCGATCTCAGGAACGGGCCAATCAACGTGGATTGGAGGGCCGGATGGTGAGCCATGTCGAGGCGCGCCGCGACCAGCGACGAGTCGGAAATGCCAGGGGACGGGGCGACAGGTGCGCGGATGGGAAACCGGCCACGCGTATGGGCTGGGTTAGGCCATTCATGTTGGCGGTTTCTTTGGTTGTTTTTCCATGTTTTTTCTCCTCCCTGCTCCTTTCATGTGTGTAGAAAGGCAGGTCTGACGTGTAATTAATTATATATACATGGATGCCACTGAATCCTGCAACGCAATTAATCCAAGTGCACATCTGCCAATGTTCACTTTTACACTTCCGTGACGCGATGTGCACTCTTGCGATGGTCAATAGGCGACCCTTTCAGTGGCATTGCCTGGCACCCCGCTACACGGCGCCGAGGGATTACAAGAAGACATTAAACAACACACACACACGCACGCACATATTGATACAAAATTACACATTGCACATGCTCATTAAAGAAGAACATATTCATATATATATATGTAATATAGAGAGAGAGTGAGAGAAGGGGAAAACACAAACATACTGTACATGAATTTACATTTGTTTGTTATTATCCCAAAGGAGGATTTCTTCACTATCCCTTTTGATTTTGGACCCCGACCGGGTATGAATCATTTTGAGCGACTCGTCTGAACAGCGTGCCTTTGGGCTTGCAGTTTGCAGGTGGCAGATTCCTTAGAGAAGATCCCTTTGGCCATCCAGAAGTTGCTACCCTACATGGACACCTTTATCCAAGTGGACTTTTGGCCATACTTCATGAGATTCGCAAGAACATGTTCATTGCCATGGCATTGTTGGTTTTTGATGCTGTGCTAAGCTGCACTGCTTGGGCCCAGGAGTCCGAGCCAACAGCATCCAACAGCTATTCTTCAAACCAACTGGCCGAAACAAACAACCCGGTGAGACAGGAGGCAACCCTGTTTTGTGCCACTTGAGGGTCGGTTGCCGCTTGGCCCTGGAATTCGTTTGGGAGTGTACCACACCTGTGGTTTACGGGCCAAAAACCTTATAAACTTGGAGCCTTTTGATCAAACCGTAACTGCATGAAGCCCGCCACTTCGAGCAACGTGGTCTTTCAACAAAATTCAGGAGTTGTTGCAGGGTTCGCACGGGAAAAGCATGCTATTGCTAAGGACAATGACGGGCATGAGCCGGAGTTAACTTCGGTGTGCCAACAGCCGCGTGAAGACTTAGATGCCTACTGCGAGGTGGATCCAGACCCCAGCAGCATGGGCTTTGGGTGGAAGAGCGTCAAGGACATCAGAGGAACGAAATCCACTTGGAGAGTGTCACGCAACGATGACATGGATGAATTAAAATTTACATACTGCAAAAATCCATGCCCATGGTGTAGGTTTGTTGCAGTATTGCAGGCGAAGGTCCCCTCTTTGGCAAACAGATTCGCATTTTTGTATGACAACGGCCGAACAGACCCCGAATCCAAATCGACGCCGCTGATTTCGTGTGGCCTGCGTAAATTTCAAGCCTGCCTCCTTCTACGTGAGCGGTGGCATAGCCGGAGCATGCCGGAGCTATTTTTGTTTTGGCAAATGCCTGGTGGGTAGGGCTGACTGGGTCAGCTACCTTGGCGGTTCCTTGGGGTAAGTAATGCCAAATTCATCCGAAGCCAACAGGCATGACTCAACTTGCTCAGCCTTTGCCCTTGACAACCGTGAAGAAACACATCCTAGCCATTCAAACGATCCCAGTCAAGAACACGCACCCTTCATGACGCGTATGCTACGTGCTGTAATGCGTGTGATGCCATGCTGGCACACCGTTGTCGCCAGCACCACACCTTATAGACATGAATCGACATCAACTGCGCTTGCCATCCTCAGTGAAGCTTGCGCCTTTCTTCAGATCAGTTCCTATTTTCCCCATTGGTCATCACTCAGTTTGAGAAAAGCACCGATGTCCTGTAGTGAGAGTTGGGACGGAGCAGATGTCGCTTTCCCCAGACTCCGTGTGACCAAAAAAGAGCATGTCGCCTTGCTTCGGCCCGCCAGGTCGGCGCTTCCGGTCGGGCCCGCCACCGCGCCACCGTCACGTCGACGCAGGACATCCTCCACACGGATTTGGAGCCCGGCGAAGCGCTACTGGAGCCACCGGAGATCCTCCCCAGCGCGGCCACCGAACCGCAGCCCTTAGCCGCGCTCTTTAGGACCAGTGTGCCGGGGTTTGGGGGGGGGGAGGGAGAGGCAGAAGAAGGCTATTGGGATTCAAGTTCTGAGTGAGTGGTTTCTGCAGTCCAAAGCCAACAGAGATGCGTTTCAAGGGAACGTAAAGTGGTTTCTGCAGCAAGTCGGGTAAAAGTTTGCAATGTTCAAGATCTGCATGTAAAAACTTGTTGGATGTCCGGCTGGTGCGTCCAAAATATAACAATAACACCAACAGAGCCGCTGGCCCATGTTTTAACATGCCACAGTTTCCTGGAACTCTAACGCTCAATCTCAACGATGTAACATTTAACATTCTGCATGACCACAATCTGGTGAATTATAGGCAGATCAAATGCTTCAGACTGGGGATGTATTCCAAAAGTGCTTGGAACTTTTGGATGAGTTTGTTGCTCGCAGCTCTGCAGCGGCCTGCCCCAGGACCATTCATTTCGCCGCAACGAAGCATCAAAATCAAACCAGGAAGACACTAGTATTGCACATAGCGTGCAGTCACTGGTGCTTGGCTGTTTCTTCTTAGGGGGTTGCATGTTTTCACAAATACACTGGGGTGCCAAAAGTTGCGCTTCTTGACTTGCAAAACATCACAAACCCTTTCCCCTTAGTAAATTTAAACGGGTGTGGAAATCTGACCGTGCTGTACCTGCCACGCAAAATGGACGTGTTAATCCGATCCGCTGTAGACCGCAAGTGTCATGTTGGAACAGAGTAAGAAGCGTAAACTTTAGGGTTCTTGAAGTATAGTCTATTCCTTAGTGCTGGCATGGCAACATCTTGCCCCTTGGGCCCAAATATGTTCTAATGGACCTCGGGTGAACTGCACCAAAAAGCGCAGGGTTTCTGCCAATTGCTATTGTCTCAGAATTGGCTGCCGGGAATTGACGGGAAGACGGAAAGACCGTGGTTGGGACACCCATTGATTTTGGGGTGAAGAGCGTGGTTTCCTGTAGATATCTGTAGATGTTGCTTTTTACCAATCGATTGCTGCCTGCACCGCAGAGATCAGATGCTCAGGAACCCTCAGAGGACGCCCTACATCAATCATCCGCTGGCCGTGGCCCGGATCTTGGCGGAGGTCGGTATCCGCGACTTGAAGACGCTGCAAGCGGCGCTCCTGCACGATACCTTGGAGGACGGCCGTCCTTGCGGTCGATCGTGTGAGCTTAAGGTACGGAGGTGTTTCTAGGAAGGTGCACAGTGGTATAGGTGTTGTCGCACATGGAATGTTTGTTTTGATGAATGTAACGAGGGAGTGAACGGATAGGAGACTCTTAGGAAGGCTGTGTCAGATGAGGGCCACTTATCATTTTGTAACTTAAAAGCTGATATGTATATTCTATTATATTCTACATATATTGATTTTTTGAAATAGCTTAGCGGTTTGCGTTAGGGCTGCCAAATGCTGCGACTCCTTTTCTTGACCTTGCAACTGACACAACTGCATTGCACATGATTTTTGTTGATACTTTTGACATGTTAAAACCTTTTCTTAATCCTTTATAGCCCAGGTGCCGCCTACATGAGGTATTCTTTCGGCTTCAAGGGCTGCGGGATAATTTTGGTGTTCTCGGAGCCATGGCCTTCCGATTCGCCGTGCTGGCCTTCCTTGGCATGGCTGCTGGGGATTTCATTGCACAGTACAAGAGTCTCGGTTGCTTTGAAACAGCAATTGAGTCAGTTGGTTCAAGGCCTCTCCTGGTGAGTCACTGTGAACGGCAGCTATCCAACAGAGAGTGGGTTCAGAATGATTAGCACAAACCCCAGTTTTATGTAATGTTGTCCTTGGGTGTAATCTACGTTGATGAAATATGCTTACATATGAATAAGGACCCTTACATTCATACCTGCATACATACATTCATACATTAAAAAACTGTATATCAGCATGTGACTCAATGGTTTCACAGTTTGTGGCTCGCCCGGTGAGGAAATGCCTAGGGACTTGCCTGGCACATTTCCAAATTTGCAACGCTCAGCAGGTAGCCCAGGCAGCCATTAATTTAGACAAGAGTGCGACGGCTGGCTGTGGGCCGGTGGCTTTCCAATGCAACATCGGCTGCTATCAAATGGCGACGCGGGCGAATGCTTGGACCCGCGCTCAATGCCAAGAAGTGTGCACCAATGGGCACGCACTGTGCGAGACCATGGACGCTTGGCTCATGAAAGGGTGAACTCTTTGTTTTGGGGGAAGGAAGCACCTTGTTAGCCTTAACAGCCATCATTTTGGTCCGAACCAAGTCGCCTAAGGAAACTGCGGATGCCATAAGTGCTGCCTTGGGCTCCAAGAGTGCATCTGGGTGTTTCTCCTTGGGCATGAGCTGCCTTGGGGTGTGTCCGGCCTCGTTGAAGCACGCCGCTTCTGGTGAGGCCCTCTCGGTCTCGGCGGACTTCCACCACCGCACCGAGATCGTGCTCCGGAACAGCACCGCGCCAAATGGGAGTCCCAACAGCACGAAGGTGGTGAATGCGAGTGGGAACCCAATCCTCTACCCCTGAGAGGGTCAGCTTGAGCAGCCACTGAGAGCTACTGATGCTGCAGTTTTTGAAAGTTTTGAGCGCTTGAATATTGATTTTGGTTTGGGCAAGGGCACCTGGCCCTTCTAATCCCCTTTTGAGCGCTGTTTTGTTTCTACTTCGGTAAGCCAGGCATGGGGCAAGGCACAAGCTCCCCCCAATCCAAGTGCATTGTGACGTTGACATTGATGACAGTTGGTTCAAAAGGCTGGCATTGCCATTGGACAAGTGCAAGCGCCTGGAAATCTCCTGTTGGGGGAATGGCAGAACTGATTAAATAACATTCAATAATCCTTGCTGATTTCCAACGGCAATTGAGATACACGTCACATATACTGCATATACTCTCAGAAAAGATTAGAAAAGCGGGTGACCAAAAGGAATCGTCGCAACATTTAAAAAATAAATCAGTAAGTTCGTTGGTTGGGAGTGGCCCTGGCTGGGTAGACTGGGCCAAATCTTCCGAACATGACTCAGGGGGTCGGAAAAACAGGGGGTCGGTCTCCCTGTTTGAGCTACAGTTACATGTCCATCTGCACAGATGAAACGGCAGCCTTTCTTGGATCATTCAGCTGTCGGCGCTGACCATGTCATGACTTTCTCGAGGGAACGAGCCGAACGAGCTGTAGATCATCTGAGTGAAGACGGTTTTTTTTTTGCGTGGAACAGCATCCCCTCCACCGTTTCCATAATCCATCTCCACGTGCCTAACTAGTACAACTAGTTAGGACATGCTAGGACTGGTGCTGAATTAGCACATCTCACCAGCGGTTCCAAACATTCAATGATGACATCGCTCCCGACTCAGCACCAGATACGACACAGAGGTTGAGAGACCTTGTGGGACCCAAAAGGGTCCCCGACACCTTTGCATTTTGTGGAGGAAGCAGTCTTTCAGGGTGCCATTCAACCCGGGTCCATGTCAGTTCTTTTTTTGGAATGTATTTGAAGGAGTGTTAGCACGGTCTACTTTATGCTAACAGGGGGGGTATAAACCGATGTGAGTGTTGTTAATGTTGTTTGTTGTTTTGTTTGGTTTATACTGCATCCGCTTAGGCTCATGACCTTTGCATAGGCACACGACCACTCCTGAGATCCAAGAGAGGTACGTATTAAACAGGCGATGCATATTCATATACTAGGGCCGCTCCACCTTTCTTAGGTAAATGTTCATCTTCTCTATATATATATATATAGATAGATACAGGTATATACATCTTGGATGATCTTGGGTTTGTTTGTCCTATCACCTCACCTCTAACAGTCTATTTTAGAGAATGATATGGCTGTTGCTAACTATCATCATCCACGGTTACTGGTAGTAGGATAGGCCCAAGCAGGTAACCAGGTAGACCTTCCGCCAACTCTTTTGCATCCTCTGCACCGCCTTCCGCACGTTTCCAGGACACCGAAGCCACGCGCGCGGAGCTGGAGGCGGCCTTTGGTGCAGAGGCGATGGGATGGTTTGGATTCATTGGGAATGTAGAATGTTTTGTCCATTTTTATTGTAATAATTTATATCTGAACCCCCCATGTGAAGAGTTTGAAGAATGTTTACACTCCAAATGGGGGGTTATGAATCAAGATCAGGTGGGGTGGGTTGGTTGCTGCTTATCATCGAACAGATCATCGATCTCAGATGCAAAAAGAACGTAACAATCTTGTTTGTTTGAGGTAGACATAGGTGGACGAAATGGGCAAGATCACACTTGGATTTGGTGAAATGATAGAGTAGCAGGAAAAACGATCCTTGATGTCCGCAATACGATCCTTGTCCCTCCTGGCACATGAGGGGTTGATCCCTCACCCACGGTCGGCCACAACGGCAGGCTCTCCGTTGTTGATCGTATGTGGCTCACAACCTCAAGAACCCCCCCGGGGAAAACCGCGTCGTCGCCGGTTCGGGGGATGTTGGAAGGATCCGCATCCCACCCAGTCGGATCAACTGCCAGATGCTGCCAGTGAACCCCTTGCTTTCTCCGCTCAAGAACAGGTGGAGCATTCAATGAACCCGTTTTTCTTCCGTTCGACAACGGCTGCCCACCGGAGCCACCTCACCAGCGGGCGGCCCGAGCGTCCACCGCGGGCTGCCCGGCCACGGCACCAAGGTGGCCAACTTGGTGCATGCCCTCACCGACGAGGAAGGCGAGGTCGGGAGCTGAATCAGAGTCATAGGTCGGGCCCGATAGCCTGTACAACTGTCGGATTGTTGGGTTAATATCCACTCGCATTACTATAATTATAGTCACATTCAACAATTGTAACCCCCCCGGTACCTAGCTAGTCATGGTATAGATGCAAGCCAACATGTACGTCATTATGTAGACAGCAAATTTAAAACACATTTTGCCACCAGCGAATGCAAGGGGCCGGCAGGTTACATTTCTCAAATACTCCATGGCATGCCTTCAGTAGACATTGTGCTTCGTCCGGGGGTGTTTGGTCTCTTCCGGTGTATCAGCATGCTGCACCTGAAGATATCGCGCCGTGCATGAATTAAGATTGGGAGACCTCCCAGCTTGACCCCCCTGGAAATGTTCGGGAAATCGACCAGTCGAATCCCGTCGACCCATTGGCCGTGCGGTCCCCTCTGCGCGCCAAAAACCCCCCGCGCACGCGCGCGCGCGCGACTGAAGGCACGGTGAGACGGGAGCATGGGGATCAGCTGTCGGACAGACCATAGATGTCGAGAGCATGGCCCGGAAGGGTAAAATACATTAAAAAAAGAGACAACCAGAAACACGACGAACTCCCAAAGCCCTCTTTTTGCTCTTTTGTTAGTCAAAGGCGGTCGCCTGTGACAATACTCCAAAAGCCCTTGAAACAATAACAACGGCGAGAGGGACTGCGAGATTGAGTCATAGAGTCTCACCTGCCAGAAGTTACTCTTTTGTTCTCACGCAACAAACCCAACAAATTCCCTCACCCCTTGCTCGCCACTGGCCCTCATCAGCGGGTATGGGTAGTGCATGGTAGTGCTATGTAGTGCCCATGTGAGCCCAATGTCCCAGACACTCGATGGAACTGGAAGACTTATTTATATGGAGATATATGGAGAACCTCTTCTTGGGCAGAATTTGGAAGGAAATGATTGGCTAAGATCGTGCCTTGCATGCCTTACACAGAAACCGGATCCAGGCCTTCGGCCCTTGCATCAGAAGTTCCGGCAGCTCCGCCCCTGGGAAGGGAAGGGAAGCGGCTTCCGACATGTCAGTTCCACCACGCACAGATCTGGCGATCTGAGGTTGCTGAAGAGGAATGAAGCGGCTCCAGCAGTCCCAAAGGAGTCTTATCCAAGGGTGCCCCTGTCAGATCACTGGATAGGACTGCGACCAGAAACGCCACCCCTTTGCGACTTCTTGGTTCCGATGTTTCTTTTGATCATCCTTGATTTTCACTCCGGGCCAAGATCCACTCCGGGCCGAGTCGATTTGGGTTGATAGAAACCCAAGATCGGTGCCATGGATCACCTGCAACACCATTCTTTCTCGAAAGATTAGGGACACCCCCACTCAACAAAAACCGGTGGACAGTTTGTTCACCTTTCTTTTCCAGGGAGGCTCGAGGGGGTGATTTGCCTTCAGAGACTCAGATTAGATACATGTTTTATACATGTAAAGTATGCAAGCTGAACAAATGTACTCCCTGAAGACAGATCAACCTGTCACAGATGGCAGCACTGGACTTCAGGTGAGCAGCCCTCCTTTTCCAACCGACGTTCACGTTCACGATGGAACCGTTCGCCCCCACGTGCGCGGCCACGCACGCGACCAGAGGATTTGCTCCGAGGTCGGGTGAAGTCGTTACCGCTGAAGGCGAAGTTGGTCCGGTTCCTTGGCTTTCACTTACCCTGGCACCCCATGAGACTGCCATATTTGCCTACATTTTGGGGGGGTCAGACATGGAGCGCACGTGTTTGGGTTAGGGATGATGTTTAGTGTAAAGTTTATTTCTGGGTGAATCCAGTGACACACAGGGGGATAGACGTGGGGCATATTCAGATTCATGTGTTACACTCTTTTTGGGTCCTCCCGGTCACAAATCCGCAGTTGTCCAAGGATCGCGGATAAGCTCCACAACGTCTGGGACATCATGCACCATGGCATCCCAGGCGCTGCCCTTCTCCGACCTGCCGGTTGGACTGGAAGGAGACCTGAATTCCCCACAGAGGTTAAGTGACCGCAATATTAGGACCCTGGGGTACCTATAACTATAGGATCCATTAGACTAGGGTTCTTCAACCTCTGCATGAATGGGGATAGGTCAAAACTTGGAGCCCGACCGGTTCACCAAGTTTCCAACAACCGGTCCAGCGGTCGGTCAACCGGTAGGTCTCCACACACCATGACCCCGGTCGGTCACCAGCAAGTCTTCTCCGGTCAGGGTGGGCCGATCTCCTGATCCCTCTGCCAAGAGGCTCTCCAGCTCATCAGGGCCTCCAGTCATGCCTATCAGGTTCATCATGTTGTTTTTTTCCCAGTGCTTGGCTCGACTCTGACGGAGCGCTACGGTAGCGCTCGCAGGTTGGTCCAAGGGGAAGACGGAGCGCTACGTCGCCTGGGCCTGTGAGATGGTCGATGCTCTCAGGCTCACGCTTCGCGGGGTGCGGAGTTGAAAGATGGGTCGATTTCGACATAACGTTGGATCTTAATTGGCAACCCCCCCTAGTTTTTTTCCAAGCATACTACCAGCCCAAACTATCTCCGTTTGTACAAGACTCCTCCGGAGGTTCCACATGGTTGCCGCAATTTCTTGCTGATCTGCCACCCTGCAAAACAAACTCCCTTACAGACATTGCAGGTTTTCCGCGTGCCACCATACATGATATGAGTATAATGCACCCCGCGGACACCACTCATCCCATCACATGGGATTTGCACCAGAACCTCAAGATCACTCAAACTTTTGTATTTGGGCAACTTAGTACCATAACGCAAACAGCACAAACCCTTGACTGAGGATTCCCACTCATGGCCTTAGAGACAACAGGAAAGCATCCTTGGTGCACTAGACCTAATTTTCTTCGGAAGTTTACAGGTACTTTGCTGACGCAACCAAAATTGCACACGAGGCAACAACCACTTGTTTAAGCGCCAAGCTCGTCCTAAAATGAAGGAGTTAGCCTTATCTTATTTATATGGGGCAAAGGCCACGGCTGCTTCCCCAGCAAGGGAATCAGCAGCAGCATTAGCATGCCAGGACCAAGCCGGACGACCCAAGTCAATGTGATCTTGGAGACTCATGTGTGATTTAACCTTGCACAGCTCCACAGAGCGACGATCCAACCTTCTAAGTCTCATTTTCGGATCTCCATTGGGGTTACCAACATGCTTATTGTGTGAGACCTTTTTCCAAGTAGTTTGCACATAAGACGCATCAAAGGCAACTTGGACAGGCCCATCATGCCAAGACAAGGCTTCCAATGCCCTCACCAGAGCCATAAGTTCAGCTCGAGGGACAGTATTGCAAGCTTCATCACATCACTATCAAGTAAAGCACCAGACATGGTACCAATCACAACAAACTCATCGCCATCAATGCGAAGAGCAACCACAGCCCATGCAGATTTCCGAAGACGGGGGTCATCACTGAAAGGACCACCCGAACCATCAGTTCCCAAGAGGATTGTGGCGCCTGTTTCAACATTATGGTCATGAAAAATACCAACAGCAACCCCCCCTAGCAAACAATTGAGGGAGTATGAATAGAATCCCCGCCACAAAAACCATTGGCAGCATTCGTAGCAGTAGTCGTAGTCGTAGTGGTAGTTGAAATAGCTGTAGTAGTAGTCGTTGTCTTCGTTGTCGTCGTGGCAGTAGTAGTGGTGGTGCTGGTAGTAGTAGAAGTAGAAGTAGTAGTAGTAGAAGTAGTAGTAGTAGGAGTAGTAGGAGGAGTAGTAGTAGTAGTAGATAGTAGTAGTGCTTGCAGTAGTAGCAGTAGTAGTAGTAGTAGTGCTTGCAGTAGTAGCAGTAGTAGCACTATGTAGTACTAGTCCTAGCAGTCGTAGTGTAGTAGAAGAGTCAAGTAAGGATTGGAAAGGACGGCAATAACAGAACAATAATCAAGTCAGTTGTTGTTTCCCTTAGGGCTCCAAGTTTGCATATTCATCCCACCCCCAAACAATTGATATGATTCACTTCCCCTGGGCTGGTGTATTACCCCCTTGAAAAATTGTTTGGAGCATTGAAATCGAGTTTTAATACGCGTTTTTGAAACCGATTTCCAGGTCAGAATTCGATGAATCAAGCATACCTCAGGAGAGTTAAGTAAGGATGTTAAAGGGGTCGCACTAGCAGAATAGAAAAGTAATCAAACAAATAAAAACACCCCGGATGAAAGAACTTGAATTTTACTATTTCCTAGGCCACTAAACCATTCAGGGTGTTGTATTATTCCGTCCTATTGTTCCTAATTTGGATCTAACATCATTAGAAGCAGACGTTGAAGCTTGATTAAAGAACTCGTTGTATGTCATAATGTTGCATATATTCGCCAATCATGTTGTATCCTGTCGTTTGCGTAGAGCAGATGCACCATTGTTGTTTGCGCCAAGACGGCAAATCTTGTTTCGACGACATGCCCAGTCCAGCACCAGTTTCGACTTGGAAGGGGGTCAGTCTGGCGTGAGTGATTGCGACCTCGGGCGGACTGAAGTTAAAATCTCCGTGGTGATGATATTGTCACGTGACCACGTGACCCAAGACCAGGGTATACCAGGCTGCAGGAAGTGAACGGTCACCGGATGTCTTCACGCTTACCCTGGTTCCATTTTAGCCGGAATCTGGGGGATACGTTGAAGACCCGAAAACGATTTTGAATAATATGTTGGAATCACATTCCAGCTGTCAGCAGCTTACTGCACTATATCCTCCTACTGTATCGTGTAGGGCAGACGAAGGTGTCCAACAGTTCCCAAAAGGATTGAAATTGAATGAAATTGAAGGGTGCCAGCTTGCTCGCTCATGAAATTCACGTTTTCCCCACGATGATGTGCCTCCCAAACCGCGCGTATCGGCGGTTCCAAGCGCCAGTGACCTCGCAGGGGTACGCACACCGCATTGGAGCAGCGCTTTCACTCGGAGGTGTCCTTGCCGAAGGGCTACCAGCTGGGAGACTGGCAAGAGCTCCTGGGCAAGCTTGACGTCAAACGCAGCATTCAGCAAAAATCTTGCTTGACTCTTTTTTTATTGGCAAGAAGCGAGTCCATGTCCTACCTATTACTGCTTGAATCACACTCATTTTGAGAAGCTCATGATGTCGGGAGATCTCCAAAAATACTGTCGGGGTCCGTTCCATCAGCGCTGGAACCTACTCCCCCCTGAGGGAAGGCCTCCCGGGCGCTTTGCCGTGAGCGCTGTTTTCCCAGGTTCGCTGTGCAAGAGATGGGCTGGGCACTGCTCGAGGAGCGAGTGGAGTCCCATAGGTAGCACCAAACGAACAGAGAAACAAAAAAAACATAATCAATTCTTATTAATCTACGCATCGTGTCAGAAATCCTGAAAATCTGTGACAGGGCACTTAGAAGAGGATTGAAATCCCACTCCTCCCTCCTCTCACTGGACATGCATAAGAATGCAATGCATGGCTTGGATCTTCCAAGATTGGCCAAAAGGAACAATCACAATTTCTCGGCTTTTCTCCGCCATCGCCACCTCACACCATATCGCCACTTGGCTCCTCCAGGGCTCCCGGTGACACCATCCGTGCAGGACCTCGAGCACGACGGCGGCTCGGCGGCCGTGCCGCCGCCGGAGCTGGCAGAGCACCGCGCGGTGCTCTCGCTGCTGAGGGCTGCAGAGGTGGTCGCGGCCAAGAGTGACGAAGAGCTGCTGGAGAGCGTGGCTTGGTGGATCTTGGTTGTGAGGGGATGATGATCCAGTGGAATGTAGCTGGAGGTGGGTAAATTTGGGAGAAGTAGGTGCACTGGGCAATGTCTGTGAGCAGTACTGAGTACTGGTTGTATTGAAAGGATTTTTATGCGACCAGTAATTTGGAATTGGTATGAGTCATTGGTTTGTCTTGACCTGAAACTTGCGCCAAGACGGTCTCCAGTCTTCGTAATCGGGCTTCCTAAGGGCTTGCATGGATTTGCCAGCGTGTTTTTGTGCAACTGGCAACATATTCTTACTTTGAGCGACAATTTGTGTTCTGAAATGTGGCCCACCATTTGGATTTGGTCGTCTATCAGGTGAAGTTTGCCTTGTTCCTGTCCGGCTTCGGCATCAAAGATCCAGAGACCCTGAAGGCTTTGGACTGCTTGCATTCGCGCAGGAGTGAGGCCCCCATCCTGTAATCTTCCTCGTTTCAACTGGGCACTTTTCGCAGCACGGAGCCCTGCGCTTGTTTGGACCCTGTGGAGAGGCGGCCGTGCTGTTGGGCAGCGTGGATGAGCACAGCATCACGGCCTCGCAGTTCGGTGGAGAGGTGGCATCGATCCTGGCCGAAGCCTGGCAGCACTCGGGTGAGCGGCCAATGGGGCCTGGCAGCGAGTTGCTGTTTGCTTCAAGACCCAGATTTGGAACATGGGGCCTGAACAGGGGTCGATCCCCCACTTGGCTTGGCGGTGGAGAGAGTGTCGCTCCCCAAGATCGACTGGTCCTTTGGAAGACCGGCCCCGTGGATCACCTGCAGTGGGGTGGTCGAAAAGGTGGAAAGTTCCGTGATCTTTGGCTCGGGGGTCAGGTCCTCTACTCTACCAGGTCAGTATGACATGGACTGACAGATCAAGCCCCCTTTTGGTTCCCATGCGCCACTTTCCATCCACCACACTTCTCAAGCGGTTGTTGATCATGGATTTAAAGAAGACTGCAGGGGGTTGCTGAGAGGCTGCATTTGGAGCATTTTGGACCCTAAGTTTGGTCCTTTTTGGTTTGAACTGTTGCCAAGTTACACCTGGAAAGTCTTCCATTCACCGTGCTCGCACAGGAGCTGAATGCACACTGGCCTCGGATCGTGAAGAACCACAAGGTGAGGACCACAACGGAGCAAGAGCCCGGTGCGGGTTGCGATGCGGCTGCGCATCGGTTGAAGCGTCATGGGCGATCTAGGAGATCTATTTTGTATATATATATATATAATTGATATATAGTATAGTTCAATTGTTTGTCTATTTGTCTAAAAGTGTATTTGTAGATCTATATCATTCTATATCTATCTTGGTTTATTTATGCAATTGTATGCCCAACAATTCATTCCACAGTTTCACATGAACATGACAGAGAGTTACAAAAAGCATCCACCCAAGGAAACCTGGACATGAGGAGACCATAAATTGGCGTTGGGTGTTTTACTGTAGGGGGAATGTTGATCTTCACCCACGCCACATCACCCGCGTTTGGCAGGAGGAAAATCAACTTCAAAACTTGTCGGTCATTGCTTTGTCTTTGCACAATACTTGGCTAATCCTGCAGCTGAAACTTTCATAGGTTCAACTTGCAAAAGACCACATTCAAAGGATCCTCCAATATTTTGCCGCTACCCACTCTACCGGCCGAACGCACAAGCACCGAGCGTCACTATCGGTGCTTCTCCTCACCCGGCGTGGGCTGCTTCCGCTTCCTTCGCTCGAACGCCACGGATTCACCAGGCCAAGCGGATCTACTTGGGGAAGCACCTCTATGAGCTCCGCAAGTTGCAGATCGGCGCGGGCCCAAGTTGAGCAGCGCCATCGATCGAGTCGAAGCGCAGATCGAAAGAGGAAGCCTGGCGCGCCGCTGGGAACATGTGAATTCATGGCTATAGGCGGTGGTTTCGGGTATGTTTATATTTGGGATAACTGAACCCCTGACTAATATTTGTCAAGTATATAAACTGAAACCACCGGCTTTTTTTGAAGCCGCCTGTGTTCCATCAACAGCCTGTGTAGTAAAGCTGTAGGTTTTGTCAAGTTGAAGAATCGCCGCCCAACTCATCGGACCTGATCGTGCACGATGCCAAGTATGTTTGATGTCTTCAACCCCCAAAAAAGAGAAACAGATAATAGCTTTAAGGCCAGGAGCTCTTAGTAGCACCCTTGTTAGTAGCGATGCCAGGAGCCCCTAGTAGCGTTCAAACCTTGAAAAGTGGGGTGAGTGGATCATGTGGGGCCGTGAAGACATCATATCAGATTCCTGGGGAAGGTCCCGCGGGCGGCGGCGGGCGGCAAAGAGGCAAGCGGGCGGAGGTTGAGGAGATGTGAATTGCACTGTTCCAGTTGAAGAAGAAAGTGCGCACGGTCGGGCCACTACTCCAACACTGCACTCGTCAGTGCTTCGCAGATTGGAACCAGTGCTTCGCCAGGTGAGCGGTCCGAGTGTGGGTCCGGGGTAGCCCAACCAGCACTCCACGGCACTCCTTGTCACCTCACATTTTCAGGGCTCATCGACACCCCGGGCTGGCCCTTGTTTGTGAATCAGTCACATGGCGAGAAGGCTGACATTAGACACCCCAAACGGGGCCCTTGCTGCACTTGCTTTGATCCAACTTCCTTTGTCGCCAAATGAGGCACCATGTCCAGCCAGGAGGACGTGAAGGGAATGTGGACGCGGGAGGCAACTCCCCCTAAAGGGCTAGCTAAACACAGACATAACCCGGAAAAGTGGATAACCTTCTTGAGGGGATTGGTTTCCCACCAGGCATGAAGAGGTGGACGGGCAAGGATGGGAGTCATTCTTGTGAGTGTGCGCTCCCTCGTCGTGGAGCTATCTTTGGTGCCAGACATTTCATCAGTCACTTAAATAAGACTTATGAATGCATTATATAATGGGTTTCGCTGCTCTTCTGATGGAGGGGATTGTTCGTTCCCTTAAAACTTGGACGTCTTCGCTTGATGATTGTGGTGTGTAATTTGTGGGCGCCTTGAGTTGCGGTCAATACTTTTTACTGTCGGAACATTTAGCTTGATTTTCGAGTTAGATTGAGGGAGTCAGCTGTGACACCTCCCCAGCAAGTCCAAAGAACAGGCTAAACTGGTGCGCTACTATAGCACTGGTTGTATAATATATAAACTGGAGCGTGGGCCCACTGGGTTTCAAAGAGCTTCTGAGCCAAAATGTATGCAGCAAGATCTTGGCACTTGGTCATATTGGGTGTGGCTCCACCATTGATCACACCCAGAATCAGAAGTCTGGCCACGGCCCCGAAGTCTAGTTTCGTTGAGACAACTTCGTCATACTGCACGTCTCTACGTCTTCAATGGGTCCATGGGGAGACTGGGTGGTGCGTGAGGACCTGGATCACTTTCAACAGCTGCTGGAGCGCACGATCTCCCTTCGTGAGCAGTTGCGGGGTGCGCACCCACGCCTGGAGGAGGGCATCGATGCCATGGTGGGCAACGGCCAAGTGAGGCACCAAACAACCAAACCCGCACACAACGGGGACAAAACTGAATTGGGGGACAGTCTTTTGTCCTGGTCGGCCGAAACGGTGTGCCGGAACTGGTTTTCCTTTGTTCAGCCGCTGCACTGCCGAGTGAGAATGTTGGGCAGGAGGTCAAGAAGATGCCAAATGTCCGGCTCGTTTGCGGGGCAGTTTTGGGGTTCATCCGATGCGAGACCCCTTTCTCGCTGAACATGCAGACGGTGAAAGTGAGACTGAGCGAACGACCAGAACCCAACTGGGAACATCCAAAGAGACTGTCTCAGGCCTAGAGTCAAGAGTCTAGAGTCTAGGGTCTAGAGTCTCAGGTCTAGAGCAGTGACATGGGGGTAAACTGGTTTTCTTTGGTGGCGGGGAGGTCACAGTAGTTCCGGCTCCTATGCCCACGTTAGGCTGGCCAGCGGTGAGCTGACCCCTGTGGATATGCTCGGTGACGAGCAGCTCGGAAGACAAGGAGCTTGGAGCAACAGAGGATTTGAAGCAGGGCGCAGCCCCAGAAGTCCGTGCCAGGAGAGTCCCAGATGTGTCTTTGTTCATTCGTTCATTCGTTGATATTCGTTCTTGAATTGTTTAGTCGTCACGTTTGATCTTGTGCGTGTGTGTTTTTGTTTGTTTGTTTGTTTGTTTCTTCGTTCATTCGTCGTTCCCCTTTTTCTGGCTCGGCTTGTATTCCAGGTCGGCAACTTGGCATTTTGGTTCCGGAAGTCGAGACAGGTCTTCCAACCCCCCGCACCCCTCGGCACATTCGGACCGCTCCGTCCGCTGCCGCTGCCTCCGCTGATCCGAAGCCTACGGACGCTCCGGCGGCAGCATGCGTGCTCAGAGGGTGCCGGGTGGCTCAGAGGGTGCCGGGAGGTGCCTCAGTGGGTAGACACAGACTGATTGATTGGACTGTTGATTTGAAAACCCACCCATATCGTCCCATGATCGAGATGTTCAAGGAAAGAGCTGCAACGAAACAGGGTCTCAGATCATGTGGCATCAAGAGAAGCCGTCAAGCAACACGGGACCTTGTCCTGCCTGAAATCAGTCTTTTCACGATGATGTGTTGAGGTATGCAAGTATTGATGTGAGGAATGCATAGGAATGAGAGAAACCCTGAAATACCCTGAATGACCACCTGCTTGCACTTTCATATATTTGTGTCGCTCCTGTTGCTGGACCAGAGCTGCCGGTGCCAGATGTCAAGTCCGGCGCTAGAGGCCACAGACAGTGTCACAGATTGCATCTCCCAGTGGAGTGAGGGTGGGCCGCAGATAATCAGACCCAGTATGGGACCCCAAAAAACTTATTGGGAGATAGGTTTTCCCTTTCAAAATGAACAAGTTCGGTTCACTTTATTCTGTTTCAGGGAAACTGACGGAGTCAGTGATTGGACGGCACATTCCTTGTTCTTTGTCATTTGTAGATATTTGTAGAAAGGTCGGGTTCGTTTTGCTTGTTATTCGGGAGTGTGTTGCCAATCATTAGCTTTCAAGAAGTGAACACCGTTGATTTGTTGAATGCATTGGGAAAATGCAATGGAAGAATCATTCCGCTCTCCATTCTCAAAGGTCGGGCTACCCCCGTTACAGTCCATGTGGATCCAACCACTCTGTATATGTATAGTGCGATGTACTAGTCAAGTCCAGTCATTTGTTCCACCGGGCGTCCTCACGCTGCGCCATTGGGCTGGGCACATGATCCTGCGGCTGGGTTGGGCGCTGTTCTTCGCGGCCGCCTGCAGTGAAGAGGACAGAGAACTGCCATCAGCGAGGTCTTTTTTCATGCTCCAAGGAAATTGATTCCGGAGTCAAAGTGCTGGGGTGGGCAACAAACCCAAGAATGGCCTGGGTGGAGATACCATAGTCTACAAGTTGCATGGGATTTTCTGTGGTTGTTTGGTGCCTTTCTCAATCATGGCATTAGGTTGGTGGCAGGAGGCATAAGGGCCAAATTTGTGTCATTGCCTTGTTTGATCATGGAGGCAGCAAGCCAGGTGTCATGGTCATGTGCCAAGTAGGTCCACTCAGAAACAAATGAATAAACGAGGATAGTAACATGTAGTAACGGATAGTACCCAGAGCTTCCCATGCGACATTGAAATCGTTGACAATTACCGGGCCAAGCCGGTAACCTAGTACAATATCGAAGCCAAGCCGAGAACCTACAGTAGTACTATATATAACCAAGCCAAGCCGGCAACCTGGCACAAAACAAACCTATTACAATAACCTGGCAACTGGTACGATCTACCCGGTACAAATTCCATCATCCGAATTCACCGCATTCGCTCGAATGACTCCGAGCTTCGCGCGACCGCCCCCGCCATCCGCTCTCACGTCCTCGACGCCTCGCCGCGGAGGAGGCCTGGCTGGAGGAGACCTGTGGCTCGGAAGAGGGCCTTCGACTCCTTCAGCTTAGAGGTGACAGCCTGATCAGAGGAAGAACCAATGAAGAACATATCATATACCCTGAGCATCTGAACCCTACAAATTTGTCGGGTTTGAAAACAAACCTCGGGTTTAGCCGTGACATAAGGGAAAACCTCGGGTTTTAACCAAATCCTCGTGTTTTGCCCCAAAACCCTCGATAGCCATGTGCAGGTGCTCCATGTTCATTTTCTCCCGCCGACTTATCAAATTTTCCGTGGTCAAAACATGTTTCACAGTATGTTACAAACATTCAACACTCTTGTCAGGAAAAGTTTGGGTCCGTGATTTAGAGCTCCGATAACCCGTGATTATCCCGTGTCAACCCGTGATTTTGGATGAAAAACCTCGGGTTTTCAGAAAAAACATTGTGTTTCCCAAACCCGTGACAAACCCGTGATTATACCGTGACAACCCGTGCTTTTTTCACGGGTTTTAGGGGGGTACAATAGTTGCATTTTTGGTTGAGTTTTTTTTCCGTTCTGATCATCAACCTGGGCTTTTGGAGTTTGAATTCAAGTTTCTGTGGCCCGGCCTTCGAAGATGGCATGGGCGGAAAAAACACCAAAATGGGAAACCTCGTGTTTCCTCTAAGAACCTCGTGTTTTGGGATGAACCCTACGTTTTTGTTGTGTTTGGAGGCACAAGGTATATATATATATATATATACATGCTGGCATTTGTGTTTCAGGATGATTAATGTTTTAAGGTTTCTTGGAGGTTGGTTGCAGCGCCCCAAATTTGTAGGTTGATTCCTTTAATCTCTCGTGATGTCCTACCGAAAAATTGGTGTGGCACCTGTTCAGCCTCGATGTTCAGAAAGCACTCCTCGCATCTCCTCGCTCAGTGCTTTGCCCAGGTTCTTCGGTGAGGACGGGAGAGAAGGGAGACAGCCGGTGTACTGGGAAACGTGGACAGAAAGCTCGATCCAGACCTGGTCGGGCAGCTGCGCTGGGGCGAAAGATGCCATGTTGAGAGCGGGGAAAGAGGCCTGGCGGAAAACGAGGAAGTGCACAAACGTCTTTTTTCTCGGAGACTCTAGCTGTCTAACCCCATGTGGTACCTACCAGGGAATGTGGGCAAACGTTGAGTGTCCGTTTTTGTCACTGGAGGTGGTGCTGCGTATGTTATCCAGCCTAACCCCGGAAGAACGACGACATGGGGTCGCTTTGTGGGAGAAGAGGTAAGCACAACTAGCGGAAGTGGGACGTAACCGACTGAATCTTGACCCAAGATCTCATATTCCCAAGCTCAGCATAGCCGGGTTGGATAGATTCTGATGCTCCAAGGAGAACATCCAGACTGAGCTCCTGCCCATCATCTCTTACCTCGTCAAGAAGTCCCGAATCCCCGGCTGTTTCGGCGCCCAGCGGCTCTTCGGCGGGTCTCGGCCCAGTGGCATGACTGCCGCAGCGGGCCTCAGCATGTGTCTCAGATCCAAGGGGTGGGCACGATCCCGGCCGTCCGCCGCGAGCTATCCGGTGGACGGCCGGATAGTGGGGGAAGGCAAGGTGATGATACATCATGATACCATCAATATCAGGTGGTGATGGTTGCAAATCAGTAAAGAAACTGGTGCCTTCCCACAAACCAAAACGGACATGCAATAAATAATGCAGATGATGCTTTTGATTTTACGTTGCAGCGCTGACATCATCATTTATGTTGTGCAAGCGTCAGCTTGTGGTTATAGGTGCTACACACATATGTATATAAGGTGATCCCATCAAGCTGCATTGGTCTGAAAGAAGCGAGCTCGCTCCGAGCTGTGGGCTGTTTTGATACATTTCCTTGCCCTTACAGAACCTTCCTCGAAAACTTTACAGGATCCATACAGAGGGGGGGAGGCTCGCTGGTTTATCGCCGATGAACAGAGGCAACCACTTGGATTCAGTTTGTTATATAAATCTTATGTTCGCTTGCCCAACCTTTGCAGATGTGCTTTTTCCGCGTGTGAGGTCGAACGCCTGCCAGACTGGGTATATGGAGCCCTGGCCAGCTGATCAGGTGATTGCTTTACCGGTACGTTTTTGCTCATTATCGCTGTATAGAATGTTTGTATATACACATTATTGAATAATAATAGAAATAAAAGCAATAGTAGTGATTATATATATATATATATATGCCCCCTCAGACATTTTGTTTGTGGGATCTACTTGAATTGGCTGAACCGCATTCTCCAAGGAACGCTATGGCCGCAGTCCCACAGAGGTCCGTGCCAGCGTGGAGGGTGAGTGCTACAGTCACGGCTACTTCTGCAGCGGCTCCGGCGGCGGATTGAAGGCACCGGTGCAAAAGGAGTCGCCGATGTACTGCGGTGAGTGGCAGAAAGTGGGGGAAAGCCCTCAAGTTGGACAGTTTCGCCAAGGTAGTGGTTTGCAAGATAGATAGATTATGATTGATTGATTTGAAGAAGGTTTTAGGGGAGTTCGATTCTTAGATGTTGGCAGCTTGGACCGGACGTGGGGCCGTCCGGTCCGGTGCTGACCGAAGCACCTCTCGGCGGTGGGGAGCAAGGCGCGATTCTACTTGATGGCGATGGCCGCCCATCAAGTGGATCTACACCTCTCGGGGTCCCTTTTGTTCGCGGTGTTGATCGCTACAGGGTCGGGGGTGTCCTGTCCAGAACAAGAACTTAACTGAAAAAATCCTGGATGTGTTTGAGTGGGACCACTCAGGTGGGGGCCAATGTCCAAGACCGTGCGAATGTCGCAGACCTTGCGGTTGATTTTCTACCCGGTGGTGAAATGGACCTGGGACAGGGGTGATCGCCTGTGTTCCTCAACACCAGTGACTATCATAGACTATTGACCAAAATAAAACTCCCATATGTATTTAGATTGTAAAACCATTTTCATGAAGGGGGGTCTTCAATCCTTAGTCTACATCACTACAAGAGGGCATTTCCCTGTGACTCTCCAAGTCGGGAAGTTGTGGTTAAAGGTTGGACTCTGTTTTGGCCGCCGCAGGTGCACTGCCCCGTGAAGATCGTTTACTACGGCTGAAGCCACGCGTGAGCGAGCCACGTGGCGAGCGAGCCATGCTCGCGTGGCTCGAACGGGTAGATCATCCCAGATCCTGACCCGCTGTGATGAGCACATCCGAATGCACCTTGAACACCTTTTTCCTGAGCTGTACCCCTCAATTCCTGAAGGGATCGGGACTTTAATGGTTTTAGATTCGATGTAGATCTTGGTGCCCTCCTCGTCGGACATTTCAGCCCTCACGCCTGTGGGAAGGAAGTGACAGTGATCAACATAGCCATTTTCCCAGGCACCAAGATCAGTGGGGCCAGGAAGATGATGCGGCCCTTCTGTTTTCCACAGAGATGTGTTTCACCGCTGCTGTGTTTGAAAGGAGTGCAAGCTGCCAGACAGCAGAATTGATCAGAATTGTCGAACATGCGGCTGCAACTGCAACGTTCGTCAGGTCCTCAAGGACTCCCTTCGGAACCCAACACCTTGTGGGCTGTTCTGTATTGCTGAGGGTTTCGGCCATCCAACATCGTCCAATGGCCCGGTGGTATGAGGGTCCGAGGGTGTCTCAAGGAGTGCGCGGTGGGAGACGTCCTGATTTGGGGCCCATTCCTATGTGATTGGCCTTCTCTTTAGCTCGAGTACATCATAGAACTCCACAAATGAGGCAATGTTCCATTAGTTTGTTGCTGGTTTTTGGAGACACACTAGGACTTTAGGCTCCCGAGCAGTGAGCAGAGGTGTTAAAGTATGTTGAACATATAGTGTAATAGTGACCATTATTATACGTATAGATACATACCTGGAATCGCAAGTATATTGTAAGTACAACAACCTCAAGTTCACATTCTGGAGTGAATTTGCGGGCTTCACAGGGAAATGGTAGACAAAAACTATAGATTCTCAAGTGGGCATTAGTTCTTCTTGAAACCATGTCGCCCAGCTTGTTCTTCCCAAGACAAGGTCAGAGAGAGGAGCCATGTTCTTGAGGACCGAGCACTTAGATCAGTCTCTAGCGAGTGAACAGGTTCCCGGACTTGGTTTTGAGGAGAACACCTACCGGAAACCAATGGTTTTTTGGGGGTCCGGGGTTGAGCACTATGGCTTCCCGCAGGTTTTCACTTGCACCAATTCATTGGTTTCGGCTTCTCTCATCTTGCGCCCAGGTCAGTGCGGAGGTGTGGACCTGCCATTGGGAAGATGCATGACTTCCCAAAAGCCAGCCATGCGGATCCTGGAAGAGCTACCATCCATCCAGTCACATTTTGTTGATGGTTTGGGCCTGATGGATTTACATGTTTGATGGTTTGTTGATTCACTGCTATTCCAGTTTGATGGTTGGTTTGGGGTTGAGAGCTTGGACGTTGGTCCGAGTCCCTGTGCCCTGCACCACTGTGAGCAGGGAGGAGGAGTGGTGATTGATGTGCGCACATCCCTTCTTTTTCTTCAGCATCAAGGGAAGGGGAAGTTTTCTACGCAAAAGCTGCTGGAGAACCTTGCAGAACAGCTGTAGGCTTCCGGTGAAAGGATTGTTCCGCGCAAGGGCAGACGGATGCCTTTGATGGGCACCTGCAGGTGGTGTGGGGAGTCTCCATGAACCCTGTGATCTCATCGCCATCATCGGTCGATGCTGAGGTATGGCATTTACGGCGACGGCTTCTTGTGAGGGGCAGTCGAGTGGTGGCCTCATGACCGTCGATGGGTGCAAAAACGGGGGCTTTTGAGCATGTGTGCAGGGATGAGCCATGAAAACTGCTTTTGTCTATCTGGTTGGTAAGTTGGGTGCCCTTTCTTATCTTTCTTTTTCTTTTTGAGTCTTGAGATGGCAGCTACTGGATCTGCCCTTTTGAACCTGTCAAGGTCCCTTCTCCTGGCTGTTTGCCGTCCAACGCTCCGGAGCCTGCAGCGTTGGGCTACCGGTGTTCAGCGCACTTCCCGGCTTTTCCACGTCCAGATGACGAGTCCAGCGGCGGAGCAACGCGATGAACCGAACGGTGGGCGGGGTCATGCCCGGAAGCGGGGAATGGTCTTCAGAACCCTTTTGGTGAGCCTGAGCTAGTTAGTGTATTTCCCAACGAACCTTTAAGTGTAACGTTAGTTCTTTTGTTAGTTGGTTAATTAGTTGATTAATTAATAAGTTAGTCCGTTCGTCAAGCGTTTCGTCAAGCGTTTGTCACGTCCATCCAAAACGGATTGAAGTAACAATCACCACCCTCACTTGGTGGAGCCTGTCTCACCGCTACCCTTCCAGAGGGAAGCACTGGGTTTTGCTCTATTTCTCTTCCTCCAGGGGTTCTTTGGAAGGTGCCTCCCGTATTTGGATTGTTTTGATACACACCCCGCCGTGTGGGGAGCTCGCGGGTGACTCACGGGCTTCACGGATCGGCACACCCGGTGTGATATCGTGCGACGGGCCCTTCGTGCCCGTCGTGCCGCAATCCAATATCCGCAAGTCCTGTCAAAGGGATCCTTATTATTGCACTGCAGGAGGATAGGGGGCGAGAGAGAGAGAGGGGCACATGTAGACGCTTGACTAATAAACGGATGTTTTTTCAACCCAAATGGGCAGATAGTAATGGACGCCATGGCCGGCGCGAACGAAGACACGTTGCTCCTGTCGCGGCCACGCTTGGATGTTCTCAGCTGACCCTGTGACCGGGTCTGACGGTTGATGTAGATTCTGAGGAGCGCCGCAAGACCATAGCTGATTTAAGAGAGAGAGAGAGAGAGGGGGAGAGAGTGGGGACTCCTGAAGTAGCAAACAGTGCCTTTCACTCTTCCTTGGGGCAGCCCATGTTTGCTGAATTTACCAAAGTGTTCTGAGAAGAGCCGCCGTGGACGAAAACCATCTAAAACTTCCATGTCCCAAGCTCGTTGGGGGTCCCCCTCAAAAAGTGCAACACAACATGTGCCGCTGCCCAGAGCGAGGTTCGGATCACCTGATTTTTACATCATTCTTGTGCTGATGCGCTTACCTGTTTAGGCTGGACTGGCTACTGCATAGATAGATAGATTAGATTGGATTAGATTAGATTGGATTAGATTAGAATAGATAGAACATAATAGAATAGAATAGATAGATTAGATGCTTTGATAGATAGATAAAACGCATACTTTTATTGTTTACACACATATATATACGCACTGTATATATTATACATATGTATATATATATATTAGAACTTGCAGATGCAGGTTCCCATGTGAGTCGGTGGTGTTATGAAAGGAACTCTCGTCCGTGTTTAGGAGAGTTATTTGGCTTTGAGAGGAGGCTGTAACTGTAACAACGCCATGAATCTGCATGAATCGGCCAAAGTGGCATGACTTCATCCGAACTCCATCAGATGCGGTCGCTGAGAGCAGCCTTTCACATTTTGCTCGATCACCTTTGATCACCTCTCCCTTGTGCCGACTGACTGGGCACTCGATCTTCTTTGCGCCTCCACTAGGCATAGCGGAGGGGTGCACAGCAGTTGGCCACGAGGGCCAATTCAACATTTTTTGAAGAATCCAACCAGTGCGTCCAACGTAACGATCCTTTACACAATTTGACACATGGTTTTAGCTGAAGATCACATCAACCACTTGTTTGCAATCTATGACATGGTTGTAGTTGAAGATCACATCAACCAGTTGTTTGCAATTTTTGTCTTCATGACTGCTTTCACTACTGCTTTCTACGCGTTTGTTTCATGTGGATGCACGAATTTGATGCTGGTCGGCCCAATTTAGGCTGTTAAAGCGGTTCGCCCAGGGTGTGATCCTCGAAGTTCTTTTCCCCTCCGCCTTGGCGCGCCATGTCACCTCCGTCACCACCTGCCGTGCCGAACGAAAAGGAGTCCGCTGATCGAAGACGATTCCGGAGTGGGTCTTTGGGTAGAGTGGGAGGTGCTGGAACTTTGCCAAGGAGGCACCATACCTCACATGCTTGATTCATAGGCACCACGACAATGTTTGGGGTGGTTCATGGGCACCCAGTGTCACCTCTAAGGGGCCTTCTTGTTTTAGATGCCCCATGCCCCGAAAATCCTGGCACATGGCCTTTTTGTTGGAGGTGTCGATGACCTATAAGGCGTAGGCGTCACGCTTCCATAACATGAAGCACTTAAACTGGAAAGATTGGTCCCAAACATTATACCTGGGCCTGGGACCTTTTTAAATACTCTTAAAGATTGGCCCCGAAACATCCTAATGGGTTGGACACCCCCTTCCCAGTGACCGTCCAGTTAATCACTTTTTGAGGTGAGGCCGTGAGGACCCTGACAAAATACACCTACTGTAACCTGGGACTGGCATGATGATATGCTTGAAATTGATTGAACCTGTTGGAAGCCACTCTCGTGGCATCTCCTCCTTTCACCTTCTTAACCCCGCCCACGCGCGCTGGCACGACATGATTTCCGCGCCAGGCGTGCGAGTGAGCTTCGACCACCAGACTGGCTGGGCGTCTAAGCGTGGTGAGTTCATCCTTCAAAGCAACTGCCAGAACTTGCCCCTTTCACAAGAAGTTTCGAGCGTCTGCATTTTTTTCCTCTTCCATCCGGTCTATGGATAGTAGCCGCAATTGCATCGGAGGAGAAAATCATTTGGAAGAAGACTTCCTGAAATCTAGCAGCGTTCACCAAGATCTACGGCCGTTTTGAGAGAGAGAGAGAGAGGTCTGGCGGACTCTCAGACACCTGAACAAAGAGCCTGGACAAAGAGAAAACTGCCATGCACCCCTGGACGAAAGATCGACATTATTTTTCACCTGGAGGAAGATCATGTTCGCTTGTATGCATGTCTGGGAGGCTGCTAACTACTCCTCGTTTGGAGTGCGCGCCGCCCAGATGGCTTGAAGCAACCCTTTGACCTCTGCTTAATTTGCTTGGTTCAACACTGGGCACCGTGTCCGACTAATGTGCTCTAACTGACTTTGCTTCGGCAGGGCAAGTGTTTCTATATTGAGTGAATCCTTTTCTGAGGAAGACTGCTGTTTTCCATGGTTTTCCCGGTTCCTTAAGCACATCCACAACTAGAGCTAAGGAGTTTGGAAGTTCTCATGTTCACCTTTATAGTTCGATTTAGCACTGTTTCGCAGGTTCTTGCCAGGATCTTTGTTCCCTTGAGGGATTCATGAGCGTTTCTTTGGGTTTGGGCAGTGGGTTCCCGCTTGAGCTGTGCTGGCTGAAGCCAAGTGGCGTGTGCTCCTCGCAGCGAGTCGGCAGATGATCGTCAGTCACGCCTATAGCGGCATATGGGACTGAATGTGATTTGTCATTTATGGATGATGTCTTACCTTTAGGGCAAACTGAGTTTATGAGGTGCGCCTCAGTATTTACAAAGCCACAGGGGAAATCAAAAGCGGCGTCAGGTCGAGCATTGCATGGTCTTTAGGGACATTGCAGCCCGGAACCCCGGCTGGTTCGTTCAGCCGGTGCCAACCTCGCACCTCAGACGGACCAACACTTCACCGGCTCTTCACTGCGCTGCAGTGAGCGGTGCATTATGAGACCCCCAAATAGATAGAAAAGTAGATCCCCCACTGAGACATGGTATTGGAAACCGTGCCACGGTCATCTCTTTGGGGACCACTAGACTTGTTTTTTTGGGGGGCTTTGCATCCTGAACCGCTCACCGCCTCCCAGCTCCCAACGCGGATTGGATCGGATGAACGCAAGTGTCGCGATCGTCGGCAGCGTATGGAAGTTCGGTGAAGTACTGTGCTAAACAAGGGGTTGCTCGATCGGCGGTGCTTGTGTCACATGGTGGGCGAATCCATTTCAATCCCATCTCATTTCTTAACAGCCTCAGGAGCTCAATCGTCCGTTTGTGCAAACGAGCCAGGCAAGGACGGCATTGCGGTGAGTTTCCACCACTTCAGCTGCAAGACTACCTCTCTCGATCTCCGAATTGCCAACAAACACAACGCGACGAAGGTCTTGCGCATCCACGACCAGTTCGGAGTTGATACCGTAACTATTTCCTCATTTGATTGTATATATATATATTTATATATGTATTATACTATTACCGGCTCAAGCCTTCTGGCTCAAGGCTCAAGCTCAGCGGTGCCACTGTTTGGTACTTCGCGTCTACTACCTCCTCGCTAACGAGCCAGAGGCGGGAGGCTTCAACTACACGATTGACCTCGAGGCCATGCGATGGGGACGCACCTACCAATGCTGCCAGAGCTCTACATGCTCCAACTGGATGTGGGAGGACAAGATCTGTGAAGGTTTTGTCTGCTGGAAATGTGGTTTGGAGTGGCAGAAGCCTACCTATGGTTTCTCCAGGAGATCCCCAACCAGGTCCCCACGGAAGCAGGAGCAAAGGCAAAAGCCCATCTCTCCACCCCCAGGATTGGGGACTGGGAAAAATGGCAGAGTCAATCAGACCTTCAAGGCCACGGCAGACTTGCTCACTACCTCATGGAGCACCCTTGACTCAAAGCTTCAACAACAGCTGGAACAGCTGGGAATCAAGCCCCAGGAACCGAATCCTGAGCCAGATCTCACGGATGTCCTCAAGGAAAACCTTTCCCAACTTCCAACCGCAGTCAAGGCCCTGGTAGAGAAGATCACCAAGCCACCGCCCGCCACGGAAAGGGACATGGCCATGAAGCTGAAAGGTCAGGTCTCCAACTTGAGAGACCTCAGCCACAGGAAGCAGGTCTTGCAGAATAAGCTCGACACGGCCAAAAAGACCTATGGAGATATGCTTGAAGAAATGAAGAACATTCAATCCAAGCTTGAAGCGGAGCAGAGTGCCCTGAATGCAACGAGCACAGCCTACATGGCCATGGTGAACACCAACAAGCCGGCTGAAGAGCTACAAGAGGGAGTTCAATGGAGGACACGGTGCCTGCTGCTGTTGAAGGCTTCATCTCCACTCTGGGAGTAAATCTCACTGAGGACCAAAAGGCTCAGCTCAGCTCCATGGTGAAGAGGCCAACCCCAGAGAGCTTGGATGAAGAAAACAAGCGACGCCGCACGGTGCCAGGAGAAACCGCTTTGTGTGGGTAACA